GCCATCCTCACCTTTCCAAAAGATGAGAGGATATTGCAAGGTATCATACGACCTGTGTGTCTCAGATACTCTCTGTAACTGGCCATTTTTCTGCTCCAAGACAATATCTCGTTTCTCGAAGTCGTTGCCAGCGATGACAACCGCCACCTCATTTGTCACTGGCTCATTGAAACGACGTGCATGCTCTCCAACAGGTTTCATGTCTGCTCGAATAAGCACCTTGTATTGATCTGTTGGCATTCTTTGAAGGGCAGTCTTGAAAAGATCAACATAAATGTGGTGCTCATGAACCATTTGCTGCAGTTTCTCGACAATGTCTTGACGTACGCCAGGCATGTTTTTGCAACGTTGTTGTACTTCTTTTCGATCGTCGCCCATGAAGTAGATTTGAAGAAATTTATGTTCTTCATTCGAAGGCGGCAGCAGAGATCCTACGCGATGATATACTTGACCCTGAACTCTGAAAGTAGGCATGAAGCCTGGGTCAGCCACTTTCTCTGACGTGCCAAAAGATGTCATTTGAAAGCAAGAATTGTATTTTCTAATGTTGTCCAAGAAATGCTTCGATTCAGGCGTTGTTCCTGACATTAATGATTTCAGTGGTTCAGGAGGAGGCTGAAGTTCAGGTAACTTTACTTTACCACCAGAACAGCACATACCTCGTGTTTCTGCATGCCATTTGAGGGCATTACAGTATGGACAAACATCGCTCATTTGTCCAATATTAAGTTGAGAATGGCTGTCATAGTTATTGGCTGGATCATACCGAAACGCTTCCCCTTCCATAAATGTCCATTGCGCTGCCCTTGAGGCTGCTTGTCGTCTACGCTGATCTTCACTTCGAGTCCGTCTCTGTATGGGATTCTCAGCTGCTCGTGAAGCTGCATGTCTGGCTCGATCATCTTCCCGTCGACTTTGTCTCCGTTCTGGAGATTCAGCTGCTCTTGAAGCTGCTTGTCTTGGACGTTGACCATCAAGTCGAATGCGTGTGTCTTCAGAATCTTCAGCTGCTCTTGTTGCTGCCATTCTTCTTGCAGCTGATGTACTTCTTCCCAAAGAGGCTCTTTTTTTTACTGGCATCACGTAATATTTTTATCTAAATAAGAAATATAGGAAATAGAAAATGCTCCGAAGAGAATGAATTTGCAATCTTACCTTTTGAATTTACTGTTGATATCACGATCGAAAAATATTTGGTAATCTGTAAGCTTATAATTTTTATATGGAATATTGGACACTTACTCGTTTTTGAACAATTATGTTTAGTGATAGAATAGAATATTGATTTTATTAAAAGCGTTGAAGAATAAGAAACACTATAGTGAATTTAGTTGTATTAATGAAAAACAAAAGAAAAAGATACCTATTTATATAGATGCAAATCAATAGCATATTTCTATATCATCATCATCATTTAAGATGACGTAAACATTCCAATGACGATATAAAATATGATATATGAGGAGGAATGTTATACATGGCATCATACACAACAAATGACAAAGAAATGAAGTCATATGTATTCAAGAATGTAATACAGCTGATTATTGAGTAAAATTGTATAAATAGTATATATAGATACCGCTAATACGTCATATTTCTGAGTCATGAAAAAGAACAAAGACGTTATCTTTGAGCGTCAGAAAAAAATGCATGCGTCATTGTTGTAAGTAAAATAAACACAAACACATTTCTTTATGTATATAGATGAGCGCTCAGACGGCCTTCGGCCGCCTTCGCTATCAATTATTTTAATTTTTTGGAATGCTGTAATCCTATTGGTCAGTTTTCTAGATTGCCTGTAGCAAGCACAGGATTGGCATAGATAGATGGAACATGTGAAATGTTGTATATGAGCGCTCAGACGGCCTTCGGCCGCCTTCGCTACCAATTATTTTAATTTTTTGGAATGCTGTAATCCTATTGGTCAGTTTTCTAGATTGCCTGTAGCATGCGTAGGATTCGTTTTTTTTCGGAAAAAAATACATGTCGACCTTCCCCTAGGTGTAAAGACCATTTCTGGAAAGTTTCATAGCATTTGCTCGTACCGTGTCCAAATGCATGAAGAACAAACAGACAAACATTCTTCTTTATATATATAGATGTACTAGAAATTTTTCGCTCTACATATTTTGTATTAGTTTAACGAGGCTAGAAAACATACTTAAGTTTCACATCTCAGCTTCATTGAGGCTTCGCTAATAAGTTTTTTTTCTTAGATAGTATTGGGTTGATGCAAAATTAACGACCGTTTTTGTTAGCGATCATTTTATTCTCGCCTTCTCTTCTTTTCTTTTTGCTATTTGAAAGAATGTTATTGCAGATAACATTCTTTCTATTCTCTGCTGTGATGTGGTGACTAGGGTGTGGGTGTGGGGGTGGGGGTGGGTGTCGGCGTGAGTGGGGTGTGGGTGGCGTGTGGGTGTTGTTATCTTTATTGCCTCACACCGACACTCACACCCACACCCACACCCATTCCCACACCCACCCTCACACCCACACCCACCCCCACCCCCACACCCGCTCCCACACCCTAGTCACCACATCACAGCAGAGAATAGAAAGAATGTTTTCTGCAATAACATTCTTTCAAATAGCAAAAAGAAAAGAAGAGAAAGCGAGAATAAAATGATCGCTAACAAAAACGGTCGTTAATTTTGCATCAACCCAATAATATTGATAATATACACTATAATAAAGGTTCAAACAAAATGTCAAGTTCAAATGCTCAAGCTGGTTGGTATGAACTACCTTCACAAATACATGTACTCATTGAACAAAAGCAAAACTTCGAGAACAACAAGAAGGAACTAAAGAGGAAGAAAAAATCCCGTGGTAATCGGCGACTCCAACGCTATAGAAGGGAATTTCGAGCACGAGGAATGAACGATCAAACCGTAAAAATGTTATTGACAATGCATCAAATCAATAATTCCATTCATCAAACTCATCGGGAAATAGACCACGATAAAATGATGGATGATTTTTTAGTCAGGAATGCTAATAAGGATATTCAAGTGTGTATGTTCTATGGAAACCAAGTACGATCAAATGATGAACAAAAACCAAATATGATGTTTTTCTTTTGTATAGAACCAAGGAAATAATTCATCACCTTCAAGAACACATCAAAAAATGAACAACCGTTACGATTTACCTACAGATGATTGGAAACTAACATGCCAACTCCCACCAAATTATAAGATCTTGTCTTCTCATGAATTCAAACGTTTACTCTACAAAACTATTCCAACGGATCATTATCAGATTCAACAATGGTTAGCAAATACTGAAATGTTACAATTCTCACAACAACTTGCTACAATCATGTGTACTTCCTTTCAATTGAAAATCGAAGAGGACTATTGGTACTACATTGGCAATCCAAACATGCCTGTTGTAACTTGGTTATCAGAAGTATCGAAAGATGTAACAGAAAAAAATTCCATTAATTGGGATCATTCGAAAACAAAACTAAATATTCAATATCAACAAAATCTCATTCGAAATAAATTACAATGACTAGAAATTAATTTATACAATTATTTACAACGATATTCATCATACTTAAAAATGAACGATGATAAAATGTCTTTTGAACAATGGATGAATATTATATACAATGCTCTTGTTGTACTCATGCAAAATGATTTGCATCGTTTCAATACAAATTTTGAACAGAAGAAAATCTTATTTACGTATGATATCCATGATGTACATCTTGTCAAATCATTCTATGAGTTAAGTCCAATAGAAGAACAGGTAAATATTTTATTTAGCCTAACTTTCTCTTATTCTTCTTCTCCTCATAGGTTTATTCTGCTCAACAAATTTGGCGATCAAAATTAAGAGCATGTGAGAAGGTTATTAGTCAACAAAAGAAACGTTGGTCAATGAGTGATCAAGTTATGGTTAAAGGAATAATTCCAGGTACTCATTCAATAACAAATATGAAACAAAATGAATTCGACATTGATGGTAGTGATCAAAAGAATCAGTTATCATCTATGGAATGCTTTTCTCATTCGATGCGTGCTATTATTCAAGCTTGTCTCGATAATATTGAACAACGTGCTCAACAAATTATAAAATTTATTCATGCTTCGTCTCAAGAATAAAGATCTATTGCTTATTATAGATTTTACTGACTCGAGCATTCTCGATTGTTCATTTTAAGCAATATTGTAGAATTTAGTTCTATTGTAACACTTCATTCATTTCTTTTTTTGTGTCATGTTTCATAGTTTGTTTTTCGAGTAGTAAACAAATTTATCTTCTGATGTTTTGCTTTTCTTTTTTCTTCTAGATATCATTTTCAGAATTCTGTCTTTGTTTTGTTGTCTCCCATTCAATTTCAAATGGCAATGACGACATCAAATCTCAATGCTACTAAAACTATTACCCGTCGTAGTACAGTTTCTGACGCGAAAGTAAGACAGAAGAATAACAAAGATCTTTCTATTCTATGAACAATGATTTTCTTCTTAGATAGTCAATGAACAAGTCCTATCACAAGAGCTTGGCCAATTTTCACCTTTTCAAATCCATTCAACGAAAAAACAAATAACAAGATTTCCTGTAGAAATCATTCTTTATAAAACAATTGGAAATAAATGGCAATACATATCCGACTATCTTTGTTCGAAAAATCCATCATCTGAAAAGAAACTCCCCACAATTTTACCATTAATGATAAATTTCGATGAATCAAGAGACATTGCTGTTCTCATGCATAAAATTATGTCGATTGACATATTGCAACCTCTCTGGATAGTCTATCGAAGATATGGCATAGAAAAAGTTCAACGCAAACCACCAATCAATGTATCCAATACAAAACTTTAGCCAAAAGAAGTTTTATCACTCATAGAACAGTTAAAAAATGATAATATTATCGATCTTAGAATTAAATTACAGCACTTTAAAAATTTAATAGCCGAACTTACCTGATGAGGACCCTTAAGCAAGGTCGAAATCGGTCATAAGTATAGCTTGTGCTATTAAATGAAATTCAAATCTATATACACACCCACACCCTCATGGTTGCTTAACACACTACTGTGAAATATATTCTTATATTACTTCGGTAACAGTATAGAATTAACTTTGTTTCGAGTTAATTTCTTTGGAAATTAATATTCGTTACGAGACCATTTGAAAATTGTCATTGCTGACATGAAATATCGATATCATGGTTGCTTAACACACCCACAACTTTATTACGTGCTGCGCGCATATGTTCAAATATCGAACTCTTCGACAATGAACGATTAAATATTGAAGTATCGTTATTACTCAATGTCTATCCACCATCTTTTATTTCGAAACAATTCCAGCAATTTTTCAAAAATTATCCTGCTACAAACCGTTTACAACAACTTAGACAACAATGAATATCAAAAATTGCATGCAAAGTTGTTACGAAAGTATACTAGAAAAGAAAAAGAACATCAGAAAAACATTGCCATTGCCGTACCAATCATGCAACCAGTAACAATCAACAACAATCAACACCAACTAAACTAAACACACCACTCCACACATCATATTAAAACTTTTCAAACAACAAATAAGACGCAAAAACCAAAATTAATCTTTCACTATACATTCCAAACAGGTGCAACACTTCAATTCAAAAAACATTTTCACTACATATGGAAAAAGCACTTCCACTTCAACCAATCACCCTTTCTAAAATATCAGCTATTACTCGCAACAAAAACAAATCCAACACTCAACCAACTTCTCGTGAAGAAAAAACCATCCCACAGCTTACTTACAAAAATCGACACAACTAACTAAGCAATCAAAACTAATAATTCAACAGAGATAAAACTAATCATTATCTATATATCATTAAAAAAAACACATAGATACTTTCTTTTTCTCAATAAAAATTTCTAAACCACATGAAACTAACCTTTCCATTGATTATAATAAAATAAAATACAATAATTTATATCAATCTTTAAATTTTCCTTTTAGATACATCCCCTAGAAACCTTCACAAACCTAGACCAACATAAAAGATCAATTCAAAACCAAGAAAAAACTACTAACAATCTTAACAGCGTATAACTAAAAAACAGAAACAAATATCAAACTCAACTACACCATAAATCATACCAATTTCACATAAGGACTACCAGAAATACAAAACCTTCAACAAAAACGAAAAAAAAAACAGACAACAGCATCCACTACCACACATATAACAATAAACGCAAAAATATAAACACAACCGACAAAAAGCATTACAACAATTCCAACTAAAAAAAACAAAAAAAAAGCCAACAACATCACTTACCATTATACCCATAAATACACACCATTTCGGATATATACCAGATGTTTAAGAAAAGGCAGAGCAGAAACACGTGTCGTGGGTGCACTTCTCACACACCCAGTTGTTTGAGAATTCTTTGCTTTGGGCTTTCATTTATAGATATTGATGTCATATTCGTTTATTCTATATTGAAAGACAGTGCAAAGTATATGACTAAGGTGTCTCAATAACTATAAGTTTAAAATTACATAGGGTAGTCAAAAATTTCTTGCAACAACAGTCTAAAATTTCACCCTCATTGATTTTATTCTTCATGTTGGCCTATTCTAGTAGCGACATCTGTTATGTATTAAAACACCAATACAAAGTTTCATAAGTGTCTATGGTGGCAAATTTTTAACGAATTTTTTGAACACCTCTGTTTTCAGATGGATAAACTGTGTTTACGTTCATATATAAAAACTTGTTGGTTATTAGGTTTAACTCTACACAAATTCATGATGAATTAACTACTGCTTACGCATAAGGTGTTGTTTCATATCATACAGTTGCTCATTGGATTCATCGATTTTCAAGTGGACGGGAGTCGTTAGAAGATGATTCTCGAAATGGCCGTCCAATAGCCATCATTACTCAACAAAATATTGATGCTGTTAAAGACCTGGTGCAAGATGGCCCTCATATTAGTATTGATTATATTGCTGACATCTTAGATATATCACATGGTAGTGTGTATACCATTCTCAAGGAACACCTAAAGTTAAAAAAAATATCGTCAAGATGGGTACCTCATAAACTCACTCCAGCACAACAACAACGACGTTTTGAAATCTGTATTGGAAATTTACATAAGTTTGAAAGTGGTGCATGGAAATTAGGTGATATAGTCACCGGTGATGAAAGTTGGTTTTATCACCGCAAAATTAAATCAAAACAAGAATCTAAAGCATGGGTAGCGAAAGGACAAAGTCCTCCAACAGAAGTGAGAAGACAACAATTTGAAGAAAAAACGATGTTCGTTATTTTTTTTATGACAACTGGACCATTACTTATTCATCAGTTACCATCCGGAACATCAATCAATGCCATATATTATCGTGATGAATGTTTAAAAAGCTTAGTCCAAAAGTTACACAGAAAAAGACCATCATCAACAACAAATGGCATTAAGCTCCATCATGATAATGCAAGACCACATATGAATGATATCGTTTTTAATTATCTTCAAGAAGAAAAAATCAATGTTATGGCTCATCCACCATACTCACCAGACCTTGCTTCTTCAGACTTTTGGTTGTTCAGTTGTCTGAAACGTAGTCTTGATACATATCCAGATGCTACAAGTTTAGCTAAAGCAATAGCCAAGGAGCTCAATTCAATACATATTCAAGGATATCAAAAGACATTCTAGAAGTGGATTGAAAGGATGAAACTTTGTATTGAACATCGTGGGGACTACTTCGAACATTTACTGTAAAAAGATTAACAAAATGTTTTTTCTATGAATAAATATTTGAAAGTGCGAGAACTTATTAACTAACCTATGTAGTTATTGAATTTAATGACATTCTTATCATTGAACCACCTGATGACGCTCGGCAGAGCAGAAATACGTGTCGTGGATGCACTTCTCACACACCCAGTTGTTTGAGAATTCTTTACTTTGCGCTTTCATTTATAAATATTGATGTTATATTCGTTAATTCTATATTGAAAGACAGTGCAAAGTATATGATTAAGGTGTCTCAATAACTATAAGTTTAAAATTAGTTATTGAATTTAATGACATTCTTATCGTTGAACCACCTGATGACGCTTGGCGGAGCAGAAACACGTGTCGTGGATGCACTTCTCACACGCACAGTTGTTTGAGAATTCTTTGCTTTGCGCTTTCATTTATAGCTATTGATGTTATATTCGTTTATTCTATATTGAAAGACAGTGCAAAGTATATGATTGGCTTGGTGAACGATGAGCACGAGGAACGATGAGCACGGAAACTTAAGCACAGATACTTAAGCACGGGAATGATAAGCACGAGAACGATCAGCACAGGAAAGATAAGCACATGGAAACTTCAGCACTAGGAAAGTTAAGCACGAGAACGTTCAGCACCGAAAACTTAAGCACGAAAAAAATCTAAATAAATATAAGTCTATTGAAAGACAAACAAATACATATTACATTTAACAAAACTAATTACAATGAAATATTATGTGCAATTGAATCAAT